CACCTTTAGAATCTTAAAAAATATTTTCCAAAATCTTGATATAAATTGAGTTCTCCTATCCAATATAATATCTTTCAATAATCTATGATATCGATAGATATTGTCAACGAAAAGCTTAGCAGTTTCTTTTTCTATGATAGATTTTGTGCATGGTATAAAATGTGTCATTTTGGTAAAACGATCTACTATCATAAATATAGAATTGCACAAACTTGAGATTGAAAGATTTGTAATAAAATCCACAGAAACAGAAGACTATGATTGTTTTGGAATAGATAATGGTTAAAGAAGTCTATAAAATTGATGATGAGGAATTTTTGACTTTGAACAAATATTATAAGATTGAAAAAATTCTTTTATAGCCTTCTATATTTGTAGCCACCAAAAATCTTTAGATATTAGTTCCAAAGTCTTATTGTATCCAGAATGTCCTACTGTTGAAAAGTTGTGACATGCTTAAAGAATACATAAATGTGCTTCTCTTTTTCAAATATATAGACATCTTTCAAAATAATGTAGGTTGTTCTTCAACTCAAACTTTCAAGTATCATAAGACTTAGAAGAAGATGGCTAGATTCTCTTTAATGTATTCATTGACTTCAACTAATTCATTTTGTAATAAATTATAGATTGATCTAAATGGCAGTTATATTCGTTCTTGAAGGTCAATTGAACAATCATAGAGACGATTTTTTTGAAGAGTATCTGCATTCTTTTCTTCAAATACATCTTGAAATTCTTGATGTTGGCTTAGAATGCCACTTGAAATCTTTGTACCATTAAAAATGGATTTGACATAAATAACAAAAGGTGATGCCTCTTTTGTAGCATGCAAGAGAGCTCTTAGACCTATAAACACAAGTTTAATTGTATTAGACTTGTGATTCTTTACTTGATTAAATATACTCATAGTTATATTTTTAGAAAAGTTAAAAGTATAAGAAATCTAATCTATTTGAGGGTTATATTTTTTTAACCACAATAAGCATAAAATGATTGGATTAGAAAGAGATCTAATGATATTAAATACCACAAAGCTATTGTGACCATTGATTATTACTTCTATAGGAAGGATTTTGCAAGTAACATCTCTAAAAGATAATGGACGACCATCTATGACTTCTACATGAATATGTTTAGTTTTTCTCTCTAAAAGTATAGTAAGTCTTTTAGCAAATTCTTCATTTAAGAAACACATTGAGGCTCTTGAATCTAACTAGGCAGAGGCTTTGTGATGTTTAAGTCTTAAAATAATATTTAATGTAGAACAAGGAGACGGTTTTAAGAAGAGAATAGGACCTTCATTAGGTATTGTACAAGGTTTTAGCCACATAGTCCCTATTATAGCTGAAGAAACTTATTTTTTGTTATATTATCTTCTTTGATATTTGTACTCTTCATTTTATAATTGTGTTGCTTCTTTAGATAATGTTGATTAATATGCTTAGGTTCTCTACAATATAAGCACAATCCTTCTTGATGATGAAAAGTCTTTTTTTACTCAGTAAGAGGTTTGAAATGTATTGAATCAATTTACATATTATCTACTTCCAAATGTATGTGTTGAGGAAGCGTTGGTATTGCCATTGAATTATAGTAACATTGAAGCCCACTTGTTTGACTCTCAGATCAAAATTCAAAAAATCAATTGTCACACTTCATAGCAAAGTCAATTCCTTGACTTAATGTTTGAGGATCAGATAAGTTGAGCATCAATTTTTTTACATTATATTATAATCCAAAGAGAAATTGGCTAATAAGTGCAGTACCATCTTACTTAATATCAATTGCAAGTTGTCAAAATTTTGAAACATATAATATTACAAATTGATTGTCTTGTGGCAAAATATAGATCTTGTTGGTTGTAACATGGGTTGTACCATACTCTCCATACATGGATCGAAACTCCATCAAAAAAGCCTCCAAATTATCTAGTATTGAATCTCGTTATTCAAAAAAAGATGAAAACTACAATAATGTTGAATCTAATAGAAGTATACCAATGAATCTAACTTGTGATCCTAAAGTTGGATAGCTTTAGAATTGAAGTTCAATCATAAGTTGTACTTGATTGATAAATCCTCAAAACTTGGATCTTATACCATCAAACTTTTGGGATAGGACAATTCTTGATTCTTTAATATTAAAAGGATGTTCCATTGTAAGAAAAGGGATGTGATTCAATTTAGATGTTGAAGCGGCTCCAATCATATCTATATCTTCACTTCTTACCATTTTTATTGCTTCAGGTAGTGATAAATTGAATTGATGCATTATAAGCATCAACTCTCTCAATTGCTCTTGCATTTGTTCCATTGCACTCTTCATTTTAAGAAGCTTTGTCATGACGATACTTAGAAAAAAAATGTCTAATATCACTCAAGACAAGCAAAAATGAGGACTTGAGAACAAAAAAGATACTAAGAATAATATTAGTTTAGAAGATAATGAACGTGCTCTAATTTCTACTAAGAAAACCATGTATTGATATGTAAGGAGTAATAAAAAAATAACTTTTTGACCTTTTCTAATTACTAATAAAAAGCTACAATTAGAGAGTTATATAGGTTTTGATAGCAAGTACCACAAGCAATTGGAGACTCAAAAGTTGTGAGGATATAAGAACATCTGTGCACAAATGTTGTACTTGGCCAAATCCATGAGGCTTTGAATACTTGGAAGATCAACAAAAGCCAAAAAAAATAAAAACTTGTAGTACTTGCAGTCAAACTAGACACTACAAGAATTAAAAAAATTGTCTAGCTCAAAAAGTCAAAGGGCAACAATTGGCATTACCAACAAATATTCAATACTATTATATAATGGTACCATTGCCTTTTCTAAGATATCAACTCATTCCTCATATGCAAGGATTACATACACATAGATTGTGCTACCAAGAATCAAATAGAAAGTACAAAATGGTAGCAAGAAATGTGGCAAAATTAGCAATGAGGCATCATAGAAGAAATTATTACAAAATTGGAAGGAAGAGAATTCAATACTTTTTTGCCATCGAATGACAATTCTTTTTGTGGGGAGTTGTCAAAGAAGTGTATTCCAAGCAATTTGGAGATATGTTCCTAATTGGGCCTCGCATGGTGTTGTTACCCAGACTCATGATCATACTTATAATTTTGATCACAACAAAGTTTTTTACAAAGTAGCTACAACTAAATTACACAAAACATTCAGTAGAAAGATTTCCCTAAAGAAATTAACCCTAAAGAAGAGAGTAACAGAAGAAAGTCTCATCCAATAAGTTACTTCAAAGTTACCTTGCTCTACACCGTATCCTATGCACGTAGGATACTTTCAGATGAAATACACGTATTTATACACATTCACATGCTTGGAGGGGTATATGAATGCCCCGCGATGCTCTTTGCGGCTCGTCACCGCCACTCTTGACTCTGGAGCGCTTGCAGCATCGAGCTCGCGTCGATGCTACCTTCCGGAGTTTTTCCGCCGCGATTCCACCTCTCGCTTGGTTCCACTGTGCGTATGCTTTGCTTAGACCTGTAGCGCCACTCACGCTGATCATTTTGATACCACTCTCGTCGCGAGAAAGTTTTTGTTTGCTCCATCGCCTTTGGTGAGAAGTTTCCATAGCAGGTTTTTTCTTTTTTCCCCTGGTGTTGAGCTCAATTAAACAACCCTTTCGAATCCGACGTTATGCTGCGTCTCTGCTGTCTCGAATTTAGTCATTGGCCAGGCATTGGTCATGTCAGTTTTTGAATTTTTTTTGCATCGAGTGTGTTCGTTGTTTTCATGTTGTGTATGTGGTATTTGGGGTTATCTGGTTTTCGATATGTGCATGAGTGCTTGTGAAGAGGGACGTGATAAGGGAATTGCGTACCACACCAGAGGTCAAGGGCATTATCAGCGGTATATCACGTTAGCTTGGAGCTTAGTTTCGCTGACGAGTGTTGGTGTTCTAGAATTATTGTCATGTTTGTGTCGAGATCATAGGTTCTGAGTTCAGCGTTCGTTATAGATGCTTTCAGTCTCCATATGCTTATTTGTGAAATCTGTGTGTAGAGAGTGCAGTTTTTCGAGAGAAATATCATGTTATTTGTGCTGTTGAGACTCAGAGAGATTATGATCAGGGGATGGTTCAACTATTCTCTCAGAAAATCTGGAGAAGCACTACAAAATATCCTCCCGGGAATTCGTCAGAACCTCCTCGGGGGAATTTTGAGCCGATCAAATGGTTGATCTCGAAGGTTTCAGTAGCCGTGTCAAGTGTTTACAACGTATCCACTTACTTTACGTCAAATTCCGTTTTCAGGTCAGCTGATTTGAGCTTGTCCGGTACCGTGTTCTTCCCGTCGAAGAAGATTCTTTGATGGCGCAAGCAATATCAGCCTCAGTTGCAGGTGCCCTACATGCCTTTCCATCTTTTAACACTGATAACAGATACCTGAAGACGTCGTCTGTGAACATATCCGCATGGTACTCTCCGCCGAAATGGTCACTTGGAGTTTTGGCTGCTGGAGGAAGTAACAAAGCTCATTTAAGTTGTGCAAGTCCCTCCGAGACGGGCATCGTGTTCAAACCATGTGCTGAATTACAAAACCAGATCATCAAGGTCCCGTCTTCATGCTCCGAGTCTTTAGCCCAGCAGCAATTTTCTGCCTCGTGCGAGGCTGTGATCGATGATCAGATCAAGTACTAATCCATCGTGTCTCAAAGTTTTATCTTCTTTCTTTTTACAGTATTATCGTATTACGACTGCTGTTTATCTCTTTGTGTATCTAAAGTCTTAACTGAATATTTTTTGTCGTTGGAACTCTTCTTCTCTTTCTTCTTATTTCCTATTCTTGTATTATTTTTTTTTTTTATCATTATCATTAGTATTTTTGTCAGTTTAGCAGCATTAGGAAGTAACTTCTTCTTCCAGGTTCCTCCCATACCAAGTTCTAATATTTTGTCTTATGAATGCAGTGTTGAATACAACGTATCATATGTCTGCCACGCGTTGAGCTCGTAGTTCGATCGTGACAATGTAGGACTCTCAGGATTCGCGAAGTAAGTTTATCACTTAATAATCATTTGACCTAAAACAAGTGATATGATTATTTCATGACACATCTTAACATTTTTGGAGCGTCTGCTTATAGATTTTTCAAGAGAACATGCCGAGAAGCTGATGAAATATCTGATATATATATATATATATATATATGACAATTAATGGCCTCCTTTTCGGTTCTCCGTGTTCTGATAAAGTTACCAGAACTTGGATCCCTATTCCGATGCTGCGGAAAATGTAAGCGGTGTTAATAATGTCCAGGTGGCTGGTACGAGCAACTGATGTATGTCACTGTTACACAGAATTTTGCTGCAACAGAACAAACGTGGAGGAAGAGTGAAACTGGACACCATATTGTCAACAGTGATGGAGTTCGATCATTCTGAGAAAGGCGACACTCTTTACTGTAAGTTTCCCGAATTTTATAGGAACACCTTGTATTATTCTTTTCAACCCTTTGATTGGGTTGGGAAGTAGACTTAGAAGAAATATGGCATCTTCTGTCCGGTCGACACAGATGCTAACCTGGATCACTACTTCTAAGCAGCCATGGAGCTTACTCTTGCTCTTGAGAGGCTCGTGAACGAGAAGTTGTTGTCACTCCATCAGGTAAACTGACTATGTAAATTCTTATAGACATAAAGTTACTACAATACCCACAGTTAAAGTAATTTAGCTTTATCGATTCTCGGGCATAACTTGCCGTTATCAACGCAACCTTTTGTATTATTTTTATGTTGTTTTTTTGTTTTGATTTCATTTATTTTGTTTACATTTCTTTTCTGAACAGCTGTGAATCTGTGCAGGTTGCTGTGGACAACAACGACCCAGAAATGTGCGATTTCATTGAACGAGAATATTTGTATGAACAGGTGCTAATATATTTCAGTACTTACCATCACGAAAAACTTCGGCCTGTCCCAATTTATTTTGGATTGGATAAGGCTGCTCTGAAGTATGATTTCAGGTCTCATGATTTGAATCAACTGGGATTTTTGCGAAGCCATTCACAAATTAACTATTGTGAATGTATATTACGGTAGGACTGGGTACCTCTAATCTAAAATAGTCTTAGGGAGCTATCGTGTGCACCTTCTAAGTTGCAGGCGTTTATGCAATGCTGATTTTAGGTAGAAGCTATCAAGAAGATCTCCATGTATATATCACAGTTGAGGAGAGTTGGAAAGGGGCATGGTAAGTTAACATCTATTGCTCTGCAGGTCTTCATTTGTTTAGTTTTATCTCCAGGTATTCGTTAAATAACTAAACAATACAGCTGTTAAAATTCATGAAATATTCAGCAAGAAGTCCAATTCCCAAACACTACTGCTCATCAGCTATGACGATGGAACAATGCAGGTGTGCATCACTTCGATTTGCAACTGCAGGGGTAGAACTATGGAGAAACAACAACAGCTTATGTCGATGCCACCACGCTGTCCAAGCTTCCGACATTCTCTGGTGCAAGTAAACAGTATCTATTATGTTTCTGTATGTTAAACATTTTGACGAGCTCAGTCGGACACTGAAGAGGTCGACTTAAATGTAGAAAAAACGTGAGGGTTCTTTGGTGAAGGTTTACTGGAACAGATTTTGTTCAGTGGACTCGTCAAATTGAATAAGATTTTTTCAACTTTATACAACTTGTCTGTTGATAGATACTATTTATTTAACACTACATGTATAAAAGAGGATAGAGATTCATAGTTTCATTTCGTTTTAGAAACCAGTAGCATGATGTTTCTTTTGAAAGAAATCAATGTAGAGATCAACATGTGAAGTTGCTTTAAAGTAGTATGACAATTTTATTTTATTTTAATTCAAATTAACATTGTGGAACAGTAATAATAAATCAATTTTATTTCAACTTATTAGTTATTTATCTATCTTTCTTTTGTAGTTATACAAACATCATATAGATTAATTTAAGAAATATGCAATGTTTTGAGACTTTTGATAATATCATTTTAAACAACGTTTGTAACTTGAAATCAAATTTACTTATTTACTATTTTTATTCTTATTATTATTTGTATATTTTTTAATATAAAAATTATAATATTTTTATATAAAAAATTAAAAAATATCTATTATAATATAATATAAAAGATATGTGAGTAAACCATTTATTAAAAATATTATAAAATAAAATTAGATTTTTATGAATGAAACACCTTTGAGTCATTAATCTGACACATTTTAATAATCTTTTGCACTTTGTTCTAAAAATCAGTGGTTATTTTTTTTTATATGTAAGAAGTTTGTAGCAATAGGTATTTAGAAATTGTTTGTTTAACATCCTTTCTATAACCATTTATAATCTACTCACATGTCTATTTATGCCATTGCTAAGCAACTTGTTGAATTGCAATAGATAGTCTACCAACTTCTCATAGTAGAATCTAAGCTTAGAGTAGTTTTGTAGTGCACTTTGTTAGCAAAACCTTGGTATCCTCATTACTAGCATCTATATCTATAACCATTCTTTGGCCATTAAATACAAATTTTTATTTGAATTTAAACTTAATCTAATAATTAGATCAAAGATTATTAAAGTTCAAGTAGGTTAGGATCCTAAAATTTTGGATTTCAAGGATTAAAAAGGATTTTTTTTTATTTTGAGATATTTGCGTATTTGATTGAAGCAAATTTTTGTAAGTGGATTGTAGACTTATTTCAAGTATAAGTGAATAGTTTAATAAATATTTATTGATACCAGAAGATCAACTTCAAGGTTGGAAAATGAATACAATCAATATCTAAGCAATTAAGAAGTTTTTTCTTCCAATCCGTAAGTTGGTTTCTCTTTTCAGTATTGTACTTATTTCTAATTATTTAGTTACAATGCATGTAAGCTTTGAAATAAGATGAACGATGTTATGTGGTAACACAACTATATGATAAAAAATACAAATATGGATGTTATTATAGAAGAAGCTAGTAGAAAGATATAGTAAAAAAATAAGAATAATAAATAGGAAGTAATAAAAACTTTAGTCTTAATATTATCTTTTTATAGAAGAGATTCTATTTACTTTGTAGGACCACAAATGAACCAAATCAAAGTAAATAAGATAAGTAATTAATATAGGCATGTTTAAGAGAAGATTAAAAATAGGTTTTAGTAAAAGTTACCTAAAAAATATAAAGAATTGATACTTAGAAAGGACTAGTTGTAAACCAAGGTCAAAATCAAATCTCAAGACACAAAACCATGGACCTAATTCGACTTTGAGGTTCTTTGGTTGACAAGAGAGTGAGATTTGAGAATAAATAGGAGAGGTTCTTTAAGCATTAATTTCAAGTGATTTGAGTGTATAACAACTTTGTAAAGGCTTTGCAAAGTTAGGATTGTTTTTGATTAATTTTGAATTCTGAGAAATTCAAAGAGTTTGTACTTTGGACCATTTTGTGAGATTTATAAATGATCTATGGTTAAAATTTTGTGATTAAGTGGTCATTATTGTGCATAAATTATCATATATATTTGAGCTTGATCTAAGAGTTTGTTTAAAGTTTATTGAAGCTCAAACATATTGAAATCTCAAAAATTAGGATTTAAAGGATTAGTGAGGATTTCTAAGATATTCATCAATCCACTAGTTGAATTAAAATAAATTTTGCACATAAGTAGTAAATTTAACTTTTAACAATTGTAGAAAGTTTGAAACCTATTGAACAATGAAATTAAAAGATTTTGGCATTAGAATATCAACATCAAGGTTCAAGAAAGAGCCTAGCTAATATCTAAGTAGATTTTAGGAATTATCTTCTATTTGATATGTTTGATCTTCTTCAAATTGTTTGTGCTTGTTCCAACTTAATTATTAAGAATTTTAAATTTTTTGAATTGAAATCAACTATTCAATCATTAATTATTGAGATTTAAATCTTATATAATATTTGTTAAAAGTTTAATTAAGATTTAGTATTTGATTAGTATTTGGTTTAGGATTTGATTAAGATTAAATTAAGATTTGATTAAAATTTAAAAATTTCATTAAGATTTGGTTAGGATTTTATTAGAATTTGATTAAGATTTGTTAGGATTTACTTAGGATTTATTTAATATTTCTATTTTTATTATTTTTAAAATATTTATTATTATTTTTTAAAAATTTTATATTTTTAGTTTTTTTAAAAAATATTTTTATTTCTTTAAAACTTATTTAGTCTTGATAGGATTTTATTATTATATTTCTATTTACCTTTTATAGCTAGGTACATGGTGCATTCTCAAATAAAAATATATGTAATTTGATAATAGTTTAATCAATAATTATCAAGGTTTTAAAATTCTTCTATGATTGATTAAAATTGATTAGGTATTGATTAGAGTTTTATTAGCCTTTTGTAGGATTTTGACTAGATTTTTATCAAGTTTTATAGGATTTTTTTAGGATTTCATTAGGATCTGGTTTAGGATTTATTCAACATTTTTAATGATTTTTTTATAAATTTTTTAGGGCTATTAAGATTTATTAAGGATTTTGTTATAATTTTCTTAGGATTTTATTGGAATATATCTAAGATTTACTTAGAGATTCTTTAGGATTTTTTGTAACTTCTTTAGGATTTTTTATAATTACTTTAGGTTTTTTTATAATTTCTTTAATATTTATTTATAATTTTATTAGATATTTATTTTTTTGGATTTTAAAAATGTATATTTATGATTTTTTTAGGATTCCTTTTAAGATATGTTTTTATGATTTTTTTAGTGAATTCTTAAGATTCTTTTTAAGATTTTTTTTGATATATATATATATGACAAAAAAACTTTAATATTTTATATAAATTATCTAATGATTTTTTTAGAGTTTCTTTAAGATAATTCAGAATTTTTTTGAGATTTAATTATGATTTTTAAGGTCTAATTAATATTTTTTTAGAATTTTGTTATGATTTTGTAGGTTCTTTGTTTGTTGCAAATACAATTTACCTTCTCCAACCAAATATCTAGTACATTCTTAAGTTAGTTTTACATAATAAAATAATGTTAATCACATTAATCCTTTCATTATGCTTTGTGATTTTTAAAAGAGAAGAAAAAAGATGATTATATTTGGATATTAGAAAAGATTGAAAAGTTATTTATAAATAATTATATTCTACAAACTATTATAATTAATAAAGAACTTCTACTTATAGCCATTGTATGAAGGCTTTTATTGTAATTGCAAACCTTTTTTGTATATGGGTATTAAATAAAATAACCTTTAATATTGCAAACAAGATTTTTATTTTTTATTCTTTATTTTTTTCTTCAAATGATTGAATGATCTTCATTCATCATTTGAATACTGCTATTACAAGCAACATATTTGAGGTTTTAAAATGTAATGAAAAAAAGCTTTAAAAATAATATATAATTACCAAATAGCTATTAACTACATATCATAAATTTTGATTCCTTTGAAGGAATATTTTATCACTATGTAGTCCTTCCAATACCTTTATTATCTTAAAAATAGAAGATAACTATGTGGTATTGAAGAAGTGTATACAAAATATCTTCTATAACTTTTTCATCTATAACATTTTTATCTTTTTATATATATTATAATGATGTAATTTTTATTAGACAGTGTAAACAATCCTTGGATTGCCATGCAAGTACTAACTTTGTAAAAGACTTGGAATGAATGGTGTTTTGGATGTGAATGAATTTCATATATAGTAGTACTTTAATCATCATCCTTAGCTCTTCTATCATATTACATCTTTTAATAACAAATTCCATATATTTTTCTAGTTTTCAAATCACTTAACAAAGTGTTTCCATTCTTTGATTCAAATCAACAATTAGCAATACGATTATTTTTGATGGAACTTACATCTTAAAGATTTTGAGCTTTGAATGGTCCTATCAAACAATATATCAAAGGATGTCTTCCTAATACATTATTGTCTTTTAATATAACTATTAGATAAAAGAATTTTAAAATAAATAAATCTAAAACTTATTTTTGAAATATAAATAAAAGATAGGAGAGATTAAAAAGATATTATCTATGTTGTCTTTTTTGTTAAATAAAATATTATCTACTTTATAGAACCATAAACAAGAAAAAATATGTAGATTAAGAAAAATAACTTTAATTTTTTTCTATACATGTTAGTTTGGAGGGTTTTGAATTGATTTGTAAAAACCATGAAATTAGATTTAAGTGACTTTATTTTTTAAGAAATAAAATGGAATATATATTATAGATTTTTTAAAAAATTTCACAGCAAATTTAAAAATAATTTTTTATAGATTTATGAGCATAGATATATTAGATGTGTTTTGAAAATTTAAGCTCAACTAAATCATTAGGCTAAAATTTATTAGAATTCAAGTGGGCTAAGATATTCAAAATTAGAGATTTTAGAGTTAGTAAAGTTTTTTAAAATTTGCAAAAAAATTCTAGTTGAACTAAAGTAAAAATTAATAGATTAATAATTGATGTAAATACTCAAATTGAAAGAAAAAATTGATGGTTCATAAGAGATATATTGAAATTTAAGATCTTACCATTAAAATTGCAGAAGGTAGGTATGAAGGACAAGAATTTAAATAAACAAGTGAGGTATTTATGAAAAAAAGATAAAAAAGATAAATAAAAAAGTATGTAATTTTATGAAAAGATTGGAATGGATATTTCTAAAAATTAGAAGATTAAAGACTCTTAAAACTAAACTAAAAATCATAAATAAATATAATAAATAAATAAACAAGAGTGAGGAGGGCCTTAATCTTACTTCTATATATACTATCTAATTAAGAGTTATGTGGCAACATTCTATAGGACCTCTAATATGTCTCCAAATTCTAAAACACATGTCTAAC